TTTGTATGTAACTTTGTTTGACAGAGTCCCAAGAGCTCTAACTACAATTATCAAAAATGTGAGGCCAAAATAGTCACACTACAGCATTGTCAAATGTGCTGTATTTACGATAGATAACAGGTTTACCAAAAAGAATTACATGAAAAATGGTAAAATAAAGATCAATTCAGCAATATCTACTTGGTGATATGCATCTGTTGATGATTTTATGTGTTTGTTTCGAAAGTTTAATAACAGAATCAATTGTGGTTGTTGGGGATGTTTCAAAAAAGGTTGCATGAAAAAAAGTTTTCACAAAATGTCAAGGTTTGATGGTAGTAAGGAAGTAGAAAAAATACTCCCATGTTTTTTTTTTTAATTTGATAACCACGCCACAGAACTTCCCCGATAAGTATACGCAGCAATTGCGAGAGGCAGAAATGCCAAGATGGGATTCCATCGCATTGCAAACCAATATTAGCAATTCTTATATATATTCGCGCATTCCCATCTGAACAGCGTGGAAAAGATTATACCCATCTACACACTTTAAGAACTATGTCAGATGAGCGTCATATTATCGAATATCAGTAAAGGAATAGCGCAATGGGAAAAGTCATATAAGGCGGAACTTTCAGTAGTATGCAATGCAAGTGGGTACTGCTGTTTTTATTGCATATGTTACTGATCTTTTTGTATTAAAAATTTACTGGCATCACCGATTTAAGGATGTTGGAAACCAACACGCAATATTACAAAACTTACTTTCAACACGCGGTTTAAGAGAATGAAAAAGCTGAAACTAGTATTCTTTAGAACAGCATACAAATTCTATGGAATGAAATCATACACAAAAGCTCGTCAAAAACCGATAGCTCAATAATCAAGTGGAATTTGATGCATGTGCGCAAAAATGTGCGCGTTACTACGTACAACCGAAGCACGCAGGAAAATGTGTGTGATGTATTAGTATTCAAAACGTTTGATTCAACTATGTTGGCATAACAGGTGCACATCTCGGTTTCGAATACGCATACCTTCAATCTCCACAAGGATATATTAATTTTGCCAAAGTCAATGCAGCACTGAAAGGTTGCGGCTCTTCCAAAAAAAAACACGTTACACATCTTTAGATACCAGTGGACGGTTTTACATGGCCTTGTTCGGAGTGAAAGACGAGGTCAAATATTCCAATCCAATTCAACTAATAAAATATTTCCCAAGTCCCTAAGCTTAAACTAGGAAAACGAAATGCGCGTGGCAGCGCAAATGTAGTTAAACTGTTAAAGAGCGCAATAGAAAGTGGCTAGATGCTGTCGATGGATCTTGGCTTGTATTAGTGAAATAACCATTTATTCTACTAAAATTGAATTTCTGACATTGTAAGGAGATTCAATGTTACTATGTATGCAAAACTAAACCATGTAGTTATGAAATAATTGTTTTTAACAAAAAGGCGTTCCTGGAGTATTCGTACCAAGATGGCGCACAACCTGAACATTGTATGTTTACCAGGTTAGGGTTCAGGATGTGCGTCATCTTGGACCGAATACTTTGAATCCACTTAAAAAAAAATTGCTCAACATTATATACTCCACACCCACCTGGGTATCATTATATATGTCATATACATTATATCTAAACAATAAAAAAAACTTTATGTCCCAAAACAATGTTAAGGCCCGATTCTGCCGGACTAATAACGGGTAAAGGAACGGTTTTCTGCCAAAATAATAGATAACACTAAATAGCTTATATGGCACATTTAATCAAATATAACAGCATTACCATTTTACAAGCAATAACAATTCACCGCAATTAGCAGATAACCATATGTCACAATTATGTACAGATTAAATCACATATTCATAATACTAAAATACAGAATAAATCATACCAGATGAAACAATATTTACATACCGAATGTTTAGGATCTACAGGCAACTCAATTCAACAAATTATAATCCAAAGTAAATACAACTTAACTTATGTGACTAAATGTAATCATTCCATTTGGTCTATACTACAACCCTAACATGTATACTTACATTATATTACAACCCCAGTTTAAACCCATTAATAACTTCAATCCGAATCGTTTAACCTAACAGCAAATAGTAAAGCCCATATTAAACACGATATACAACTCCTAGCGCAATAGATTACACTGGATACAAGACAGAAGGTGCCATCTCATCGAAGCAGCGTGGCGATAAATTAGAATTCCCGGGATTAATCGAGAAACAGGACTATGTCGCAATATTGCTGCGTCGCTACGTTTGCAGCGTCTGCGTAACAACGTAAAACGTCATCAAAATAGAAACAAGTTATGATTCTCGCTAACAGGGGGTTCAGTAGATTTTTTTTTTCTTTTCAGTACCGGGTTTGGATATTCTAAAAGGGGGTGGTAGCCCCAGATGGAGATAAAAACCTATCCGATATCTGCTACCTTGGAGATGAAGGTGGCAACACTCCAAGGCATTGCCCAACTCTCGCCACTAGGAGGCTCCGTATAGATACTTGGTTGACCCCATTACAGAGTTATTCCCGCCGTTTGCCCGCTCTTGGTTGAATTTCTTTACTTTGACATTCAGAGCAATGGGCAGAAATCACATCGCGTCAACACCGGGTTGCAGCCATCGCGATGCTTTGTTTTCACTAAACAGTCGGATTCACCGGGCTCGTACCAGTTCTGAGTTGGCTGTTCGACGCCGGCCGAGGCGAGCCGTCAGGCCCGCGCAGCTGCGGCAGTCCATGGAACCTTCTCCTCTTTGACCTTCAAAGCTCTCATTTGAATATGTGCTACTACCACCAAGATATGCACCGACGGCTGCTCCACGCGAGCTCTCGCTCGACGCTTCGACGCCCGCCACCGCGGGCTTCCTACTCGTCGCGACATAGCGCCATGGAACGGCCCGTGTCGTCGCGACGGCCGGGTATAAGCCCGACGCTCTAGCGCCATCCATTTTCAGGGCTGATTGATTCGGCAGGTGAGTTGTTACACACTCCTTAGCTGATTCCGAATCCCATGGCCACCGCCCTGCTGTCTAGATTAACCAACACACTTTGTGGGCTCTGATGCGCGTCGCGTTAGGCGCCTTAACCTAGGTTTGACCGAACCCATAGGGTTCGTGGGAGCAGTTCCGGGGGTTCGACAAAGCCCCTCTGAACTAATTTTACGTCATGAAATTTTTCCAATAACAAGCCTTCCGCTTATGAATTATGCAAATATTACTATGTTTCACCGCAGATCTCCACACTTACACGTGTAGCTATTTGTAGTTTAGCACGGATACACGGTTTATCGGACCTGTCAATGCCGGTAATACCTCAGATCCCACTTCATCGAAAACTCGTATCACCACAGGTGTCGCACGCTTGGGTGTGCCTCTGTACGTTAGCGTTTTCAGGTGCTTTCTGCTTATCGGAATATCTCAGGCTGTTGTGACAAACCTCGTGAATCTGATATTTGCATCAACATTACATATCTATTCATAATCTACAAATGAAATGTAGCTCAGTTTTACGCACAAGTGGAAAATCGTATGTAATTGTGCACGAATGAGCATAAAGGAAATCAGCACGTGTTTGAAGTTTAAAGAATTATGGAATTCACAGCAGAGAAAATTTTGTGGTCTGACTTTGCTTAAAATCATCATCGGCCGTCTTGGACAATATAGTGCTGAATCATACTGTTGTTACTGTAAATATTCCTTCACAACAATCCGTTTATCCGCATCTCATTGTTACTTAAAATTCGAGATATAAATGACTTGGGCTTTCAAATATGAAATCTTAGTTTTGCTATTTTCCTCCCTTCCAAAATCCCAAGTTATACTTATTTTTCTGCCGCGGACACTATAAGGACACAACAGTGGTTATTTCTGCAAGGTAAATTGGTATCTGAGGCTACGCCACAAGGAACGTAGTGGTTCCAAATTTGTCCGAAAAACTCTTCAAAATTCCGAGGGGATTTTTTTCAAATGTCAATCAAGTACAAGACCTGGATAACTATGCGTTCTCTTTCTCTTGTTGCAATGTATTTTGCTATAAGTAATGGCGCACTCAAAAGGTCGTCCGTTGATACCCCTTCAATAATGCATGGCCGTAAATTATAAGATCTACTGTCTATACCAGGGATGGCAAACCTTTTTCAATGAATGGGTCTAAAATTATATTTTTATCGCGAAACAGAAAAGAGTGGGTCACAGATATTTAAGCAATGTTTGTATCTATAAGAAACTTCTGAAATCCTATGAGCTTCTATTGGTGTTGGTATAGTTTTGTGCTTTACTCATGCAGTCCTTCTATCAGGGATTTTTTATGGCACCCGATGTTATGAAATTAGAGTACGAAAACACACATATGAATTACCAAAAACGTTTAGGAGGATGCGGCATATTATTTTACAAAGAGTTCGGGGGGATTTCCACTCTGATATTGTTATATTTTTCGATCAGCTTTCAACCACATTAAGGCACTTTTACACTGCCCCATTGTTATTTCAGATTTCTAGGATATTATTCCAAGTCTGAAAGATTTTGTTTTCTCAACGGCATTGTAGGCGGGAAAGTAATGAAATAAAAAGTAGCATCTAATTCTCGCATAACCCCTAACACTTGCAGTGCACTTTCGAAATAAGTTGCGAGAAATGAACCGATCAATTAATTGCATTGTTATGTCATAAACGATATCAGAGCTAATAGCTGAATAACAGTGCAGATGTGCGTCCAACATTGGGGGGTTTTGAAAACTACCATACCGGCCCGGAATTAACAATTTGAATATGAACGATCGCAGCCCTAACTGCCCAACTGACGGTACATTATAATATTTGAGTTATTGTTAGATTAATTTAAAGCCGGGTATTTTTTATGTTTAATTTTAGAAATGGATCAATCCAAGCTTACCATATGTTTTTGTATGTATGAATTTTTTGTCTTAGGTTTCCCAGTGCAGAAGCAAAAATACGCAATGGAATGTTCCATTGCTCGAAGTCTAGGGTAGACGGACATCCATTTGCAATATTTATTTTTTGCTATATTAGACGAATCAACATTTATTCAGCATTGTAATTTATTACGAGATCAATCGATTAATTTTCGAAAACTACTCAATAATAATATTACTTCACGGACACAATCTGCTAATTTAGTTAGACACAGTCATGATGGAATCATTTCAAATCTTCGTCAAACTCTTGTTCCTGAATGAAACCATCTTTGTTTTGATCCATTACTTCAAATTCGTCTCTCGCCATTTGGTTGATTTGATATTCTGTGTCGTTTTCTATGAAATCTTTTGATTCTTGTACAGCATCCAGAATATCGACTATTTCTTTGCGATCATTAGATTGAAGCAAGTCGGAGGCCAATTGATAGGAAGATTCAAAATCCTAAAAGTTACGCAACTTCTTGATTACTTAATAATATTAAGTGAGGCTCAAATTCAGTAATGCTTAAAAGACAGCAGCAAAAAAGAGGCGTCAAGTGAAACAACAATTGTATTGGAGTTATAAGCGCACTCAATTTTTAGTGTGGGTAGAGCAGGTGTTGGAACACACAGATTATTTCAAGTAGTAGTCGGGGGTATAATTTCGTTTGAGTTTAAACTCGAGAATTGCGGCTAGAATTCAATTCAATGATGACATGGAGTTGCTAGCCATGTATCAACGAAACTTCAATACTTGCCAGTACAGAGATAAAGTAAATATACAAATGGAAAGATTTTGAAACAAGAATTACCAACCATATTCAAATGCACCATGAGTCCTTTCAGAAATTCATCAGGACTAAGCACTTTGTCACCGTCTTTATCTAGCGCACTGAAAGCGTCTCTAGTTTCCTTCAAACCCGTAAGCTCATCTTCTGTAGTAAAATCGGCTGCCTCTTCGTCTTTGCTTGTCCTGGCGCATGTGTACCGTTTGGCAAACCACCATCCCGCTATAAAGCATTTTTGGAACAATCAATTAAATGTTATTGATAGCGTATGATCATCGTTCAACAGGAAGTCAACAAGTTAATGTTTGAAAACTGACTGTTTTAAGTAAAGTAATCAAAACTTACACTTGTATGTAATCTTTGGACGTCCCCCTCTACAGCTTCCGCATCCACAACAAAAGACGTTACAACCTTGACCTTTTCCACTTCCGTGTCCGCAGCATTTCTGTCCCCTCGAGAATACAGAGTGAACTTTACTGCAGTCATTGCAGAATCCTTAAATGCAAAGGTCTTACATATATTGAATGTGTTTGGGTTTGTCATAACAAATAAGAGTTTTTTCTCATCTCATGACTCATGAGTTTAACATAATATAGACTTGTCGCTTCCTTCCCTATATGCCAAGCGTTAAAACACGCTCCGTAAAGGGATTGCGAAGAATGACTATGTGCACGATGTTTTCGGACATCTGGCTGCGAAAAAAGTTTTTCGCAGGCGTCAGTTATTGGACTAGATGCCATCAGAGCCTAATCTGATGATCCTAATATCTGGTATACATATATATATGTAAATCTCAGCTTGTATTCTCGATGAACAATTGATTTCAATTAATTTAAATATTAATATTTAGCAAAAATAGGAAACTACAATTACAGAACTTACCATTAATACCTTTTCCACAGCACTTTGCCGACGAATAACATACGGCGAGGGTCGAAAAGACAAGTATGGAAGATATTACTTCATTCATATTGTATTTTTACTGTCAACGATTACCATAAAATCATATGCAAAACGTTAAATCTTGTTTCGGGAGTGCACCTCGAAGTAGATATGACCTCGCGAAAGGAGACTGATAGTTATTCAAAATAAAAATAGCAAAGCAAATGTTGCATCAGAGTATGAAAACCTGAATCCACGATACTACCTAATGTGCCAGTGAGAGGCTTTACCCATTGCCCCCCTAAAATACGCCGGTTAAATGTTGCAACTATAAGCAAATCGTAGTCAAATTGAACTATTGTTTTATATGCTGATTGAAACTACAGACTCTTCCAGTCATATATGGAACCGATATCTTTCTGGATGAATAAACTTAGCAATCTACCAAATTTGCTAACACGAAAGTCTGTACGAATAGCACTGTTCTAACAATGGTTGGTAAAATTTGTTTTCCATTCAGATGCGAGGGATGTGTGTTCTTGGTATACGTTTCTTCCACAACAGGAAGGAAACCTCACCGTTTCAACAGTGCAATGTACCATTCACCCACCACCCTCACGAGTCAATGAATTCGAATAAATAACTAGAATCCAAAAGGAAAAACGACTCACAATTATTTTAATTTACTTCAAAAAATAAATTGTGCGTCATGCTTATAAATTTATGCAGTTATACGATATCGTACCGCAGAACCATATATATTTGGCCTTTAATTCCTAAACCCATAATATTTGACGCTTGTCAATGTATTAAATCAGGGGTGGGCAACCTTTTTCGCAGGCGGGCCAAATATCAATACCCGGGTGAAACCGCGGGCCGAACCTATATTTAACAAAGGTTTCCATTAGTTGCAGGGACAAAATGATGTCTTTTTGTCATTGATCTCATGTCGTCATGAGGAGTTAAAACGCGTAAATTTCTTAAAACTGTGATTCAAATATATTGTCACACCCAATTTAAACCAATTCAGTGAGAAATTTGCAGCTGGATTTTTTTTCCGACTACTTTTATTCTAATTTGCTTAAGAGGAAGTGCTAGCAATTCAAAATAAAAACCATTTTAGAAAAAAATATGTTACCGAAAAGTACCATATTTAAAGCCCTGACTTTTCATTTCCAAATAATTTGTTCTCAAATCCTATTCTAGGTTAGATTTAGACAAAATCAACTGATAGGTGGAACCAAAACTCATTTAGATTTTTATCTTTTAATATTAATTTTTTTAAACTGCTCTCCGCGGGCCGCACAATTTTCCGTTGCGGGCCGCATTCGCATACCCCCGTATTGAATAATTATTGCTGCAATATTCAAAAAAGGACTATGTTTCATTGTGTTTATCAGCACGCCAACGATCATATTCCTACTAGTTTATGCACAATGGATAGTAAATCGTTAGAGTTGACAAAATAATTTCGCGAGTGTCTTGTCGGTTGTCGCGCAGTAAGTACTTCATTACATCGCCGTTCTTAAAACGCTTCCAAAGCATCACCAGAAGACCTCACTGAATGAAATCAGTACACAAGCAAATATGTTATTTATAGCTTGGTGTTAGTCGAACAAAGCTTGCATTTCAGTGAACAAAAGACGACCGCCTGGTATGTTTCCAAGGATATGAGTGTGCTATAGAAATATAAAGACGGAAAAAATTCTGGTATACGCGACGTGTATTCATGAAATTGGCGATGTAAGTTTCCACAGCCATTCGTATAAAAAAATTTATTGCTCGTGAATATTAACAAAGCACCTTTTTGACAATAAGCCTCATAGAAAAACATACACAAAGCCGGGAAGTTTACAATCAATGATATATATAGGAGGTTTGCTATTGATAAGTTGTTTGCGAATAAACACTACGTATCAACATTTTGACAAAATTTCCAGTTGTACCATATGGTTCTATAGCGACACCTAAGCCCGAGTCATTCGGGTCATATGACCCCGTGACGCACTTGCCACGTTCTAGCTTTTGTGTCTGATAAAAGATTTGACACTCAACTCGGGGATCTCTCGCGACACGCACCTACTACAACTTCAAGCTTCTGCCTCATTTTTGAGTCAAGTTATTTTACTGTTTTATTGCATCTCTATCGATTTTACCGTCATCATTTTAACTAAAGAATGTAATACACTACAAAGATTTTACACGTTTTAACAATTAGAGACTCGGAAACGGACATCACGACACGTAGAGTTTAGGGAACAACAGCAAGAACCCTACATTTCAGAAAAAAATATTATATGATCGCTATTTAGTAGCATGCATGCAAATTTCTTTTTGTAAAAAAAAGCCAACTGTTGCACCCATTGTAATCATAAAATTCTACCCATCATGAATACTCACAAATATTACCCACATTTAATTAAACATTACAGCAATAAAAATATATTTGAAATATACAAGGAAACACCACAATAGTGTACTGCCTAATATATAACGAACCTTGCATGCTGAGCATTAAATTCAAGGTATGGCAGGCGGCCCGCGTGCCGGGGTTTGTACCACCCTGATATAGATAAATAGCAGGCACGTATCTGTTAATAATTTCGGCTACCATGCTCGTCATCTGGTTACCGCTGAACATTATTTCCGTTCACGCTAATACCGGACAGTCAAATTTATGTCGTTCGCAAATGGAAGCAGTAGCCTATCTGATCGTATTTCTTCCATCAAACAAAACAAAACATATTTGTTCTCCTTTATACATTATTTTCATCTGTGCATCAATTGCCTCCTCATCTAGGTTAGGAGTCTTGCTGTTTTTTTTAACAATGACCTTCAATGGAAGCAATCTGTACAATGTGATAGTGTTGTAATGTGGTATACTGGTATACATATACAGCCAACTCATATAAGAATAGCAAACCGAATAATATACAGCCTTATACAAGCTACTCAGTGTACACAAAGAGCCATTTTAGTGATATAGTAACACAGCCAATCCATTTCATATGTGTGTACCATGTGAATGCTGTGCCAAAGAGGATTGCCTTCTCATGTTATGTGCATAACGATACCTACATATCCAGCCATTCGTCCAGCCAGCGAAATCACCAATGAGCCCACAACAGCCGATCATTTATATAATGTGGAGAGCAATGCTATTTTTTTATATCCAGTGGTGAGATTCAAAATTTTAAGAATGGATTCTCTTTTGTATCGAATTCACTAACAATAGGTTCTATCATTCCATATATATATATATGCATTTATCTCACTACGCAAGCTACGTTATCATGACACGTATTAATATAAATATATATAATACATACAAACATACCGCAAGGCGCCAGCTTTGGTGCACGTCGTGTCGTTTACCGTCTAAAACAAAAACAAAAAACAAGAACGGGTTCGCTGACCATCACGAAGTACGAAAAGTTTCAAGTCAACTTATTACATAAACTTCACCCTTGTTATAGATAATCAATAGCCGAGTTTCTGTAAGCGTGAGAGTACTGCCATATTTTGTCAACGAGCATGTCTTCGCCCTACAAGAATAATCTTGCGATGCTTTTCAAATTAACCAAAATGCAACGCGAGTAGTGATGGCTTGTGTATCGCTATGCGCACATAACATATCGAACAGTGTTTCTTAACCTGGGTTAGATCGTACACAAGGGGTTCGGTGGAGCAGTTCCAGGGGTTCGACGAAAGCTTCTCTGAAATACGTCATGAAATCTTTTTCCATTCACAAGCCTTTCGATAGAGGTTTAATTGGAAATGTCAATGACGGTTATACCTTAGATACCATTCATTAAAAACTAGTTGTATCACCAAAGGTGTTGCACGCTTGGGTAGACTTCTGTGTGATAGCGTTTTCAGATGCCTTCTGCCCATCGGAATATTTTGGGTTGTTATGAATATGTCGAATCTCATTAATTTGAGCTGATATTTGCGTCAACATTACACATTCATAATCTACTAATCAAATGTAGCTCAGTTTCATTCAGAAGTGGAAAATCGTAGGTAGGTGTACATGAATGAATAGAAAATCAGTGCGGGATTAAAGTTTAAAGAGTGATGGAATTCGCAGCAAATATTTTTGCAACAGAGCTTTGCTAAACATTATCATCGGCCGTCTTGGACGACCTGAATATCGTGCTGAATCATACAGTTATTACCATAATATATATTTCTTTTTAAACAATCCTTTAATCCGCTTCTCGTTGTTACTAGAAATTTGAGATATGAATGACTTGAGCTTTCAAATTTGCAATTTTAGTGTAGGTAGTTTCTCCTCCTTCCAGCCGCCGAAGTTACTTATTCCGCTGCCGCCGAGAACACAACAGTGGCTCTTTCTACATGGTGTATTGGTATCCAAGGTTATGCCACAACGATCGTAGTGGTTCTAAATTTGTCCGAAAAACTCTTCGCAATTCCGAGCATGTTTTTTTGTGAAATGTATCAACCAACGACGACCCTGTTCGGATAACTATGTGTAGTTGTTCTTTTGTTGCAATTTATGTCGCTATAAGTAGTGGCGCATCCAAGGGGTTGATGGTCAATACCACTGTAATAATGTATGTCCGTAAGATATAACCCTGATAATTCGACCTATGCCCTACAATAGAGCAACAAATTCGTACTCTGTCATTGAAGATAGTTGAATGTTCTATAACCTTGCACAAAATTAGCTTGTAAAGTTCTGATTGCACCACGCTTGGGGTTCGGTAAACCAATGTGGGGTTTGACAGACTCTCGAAGGTTATGAACCACAGCACTATACCATTTGGTGATAATTTTGTGAACATACTTTCGATTACACATACAAATAACCGAAAACGAATATGTAACTATTTTTTGATAGGAGCGGATATTTAAAGTCACAGCGTGACTGGTGTTTATGCCGGGTATTTTTATGTTTAATTTTAGAAATGGAAACAATCTAAGAATGCCATATGTTTTGTAAGTATGTTTCTTTTCGTTCTATACTTCCCAGTGCGGGTGTGAAAACACTTTGAGAACAAACACATTGGAGTGTTCTGTCGCTAGTTGTCTGTGATACACGGTCAGAAAAATGTTTAGGTTTAAAAGCCTTTTCGCTTTTATAATACATGAATCAATAAACCAATCAACATTATTTAGCATTGTAATTTATTACGAAATCAATCGATTAATTTTCAAGAACTACTCAATAGACTAATACTACTTCTCAATCACAATCTGCAAATTTGGTTGAACACAGTTATGCCGGAATTATTTCAAATCTTGATCAAACTCTTGTTCCTGAATGAAACCATCTTTGTTTTGATCCATTACTTCGAATTCGTCTCTCGCCATTTGATTAATTTGATATTTTGGGTCATCTTCTTTTAAATCTTTTGATTCTTGTACAGCATCCAGAAGATCGACTATTTCTTCGCGATCATTGGATTGAAGCAAGTCGGAGGCCAATTGATAGGAAGATTCAAAATCCTGAAAGTTACGAAACATCTTGGTAACTTTATAATATTAAGTATAGCTCAAATTCAGTAATGCTAAAAAGTCAGCAGAAAAAAGTGGCGTTAAATCAAACAATAGTATTAGAGTTATAGGAGCCCCCAGTTTTTGTGTGTTTGTGGCAGGTGTTGAACACGCAGAGACTATTTCAAGTAGTAGTCGGAGGTATAATTTCATTTGAGTTTCAACTCGAGAATCGCAGCTGGAATCCGATTCAATGATAACACGGAGTTGATATCCATGTATCAACAAAAATTCAATACTCGCCAGTACTAAAATAAAGTAAATATAGAAAAGGAGAGATTCTAAAACAAGAATTACTAACCATATTCAAATGCAACATGAGTCCTTTCAGAAATTCATCAGGACTAATGACCTTGTCACCGTCTTTATCTAGCGCATTGAAAGCGTCTCTAGTTTCCTTCAAACCGGTAAGCTCATCTTCTGTAGTAAAATCGGTTGCCTCCTCGTCTCCGCGTTTCCTGGCGCATGTGTACCGTTTGGCGAACCACCATCCCGCTATAAAGCAGTTTTGGAACAATCAATTAAATGTTATTGATAGCGTATGATCATCGCTCAACACGAAGTCAAAACTAGTTTTAGATAAAGCAATCAAAACTTACAATGAAATGTAATCTTAGGACGTCCGTTTCTACAGCTTCCGCATCCACAACATAAGATGTTACAACCTCGACCTTTCCCACTTCCGTGTCCGCAGCATTTTTGACCCCTCGAGAATACAGAATGAACTTTACTGCAGTCATTGCAGAATCCTAAAACGCAAAAATCTTACTTATATTGAAGTTTATAATGTGTTTAAGGTTTGTTATAACTTAGTAATTAACAGTAATTTCTCATCTAGTTCAACATCTTTTAGTATGATCTGTCGCTTCCTATTCCACATAACAAGCGTTAAAACACGCTACGTAAGGGGATTGCGAAGAATGACTATGTACACGATGTTTTTAGACATCTGGCCACGACGAAAGGTTTTTAGCAGCCGTCCGCTATTGGCAAGATGCCATTGAAGCCAAATCTTCCTCTGATTTAATATATATATGTAATTCCTAGCTTGTATTCCCGATGAACAAATGATATTAATTTATTCAAACATTAATTTATAGCCAAAATAGGAATTTAAAGTTACAGAACTTACCATGACTACCTCGTCCACAGCAAATCGCCAACGAATAGCATACGGCGATGGACAAAAAGACAAGTATTGAAAATAATATCTTATTCATATCGTAGTTTCACTGTCAACAAACACCACAAGATTATATGGAAAACGTTAAATTTTGTTTTGGAAATACTGCATCAAAGTCAAATCTTCGCGAAAGGAGGCTAACAGTTAGTCAAAATAGGAATAACAAAGCAAATGCTGCATCATTGTATGAAAACATGATTACACAATAATGCTCAATGCACTAGGGCAGTGGTTCTTAATCAGGGGGGCGCGAGATGCTCACAGGGGGGTGCGAAAGGTCACAAGATGGAATCGGAAATTTACATGTAACGGCTCCTGAAACGGTCTCCGCGTTCGTTAAAAATATCGGCTTTTTCGTGGTATAATAAATTTTTTTGTCTCGTAATAACTACAAGAATTCAAAATGTCTCTCTATTTCAATTCATTTGTGTTCAAGGTAACTCGCGGTTGCGGCGACTCATGTCGAAAAAAATTACCGATCTAAAATACCACGCCAATCCGTGGACATATTAAAGTGTGATCAACTGTCCGATTATATTTAGTTTTGATATATATTGCACTCATGAGAATTCGTTGTCTTCATTAGAAAGATCTGGTATAATATCCCAGAAAGTATACTTAATTTAGTACAATTAAAATACATATTCATCGACTCGAAATCCCCGCGGTACGAATCCTGAGTCAGTCCTCGAGAATACGCCAGTCGTTATAAGAGCCGACTTTGTCAACGGATATTTAATGATTTTCGTGTTGAATGAAATATTCAATCCATGACCGATATACTCATTTAAAATGATTGCTTTATTTAATTGTGATAACTTAAATCTGCGATTGCGTCGATAAAATAAAAGCACCAGTACTCCAAAATACCACGGTAATCCGCAACCATGAAAATGTGTGGCAAAGTGCCCGATTACATTATGTTTTGATTTGTATTCTTGCCAATTTCACCATTATGATCTGTCCCTGCAACTCTTACTCCGCTCTATCACAATGCTCGATTCATTTTAACACCGTTACAGAAATTCCTTAGTCTGCGATAAAATCCCACGGAGTAAAATTAATTTCAAGTCGGTAGTTTTAGAACACTACTGGTGGGCCGCAGGCACAAGAGATTTATAAGATTTGCAATGTCTAAGAAAGTGTTTTTAATCTGTTGCGGTCCACCCCAAAACAAAACTCATGATGTTTTCAGTTTTATTTTTAGTATTTTATAATCTCGCTTTTACAATAAAGAAATATTTGGTTGCAGATTCACTACTTAATTCTATCTTTAGCATCTCGTCGCTGATGACTATATAATAAAAACTCGTTTTCCTCAGAGGTGTCATGATTCTATTCGAAAACAAAAAAAAGTAGCTATAATCGTCTTCGTGACACAAGAATATGTCGAGGGATATTTCTGATTTAGGGAGAATGAACACCGAAATCAAGATTTTTACGGCTTAAATAGCAGGCCACGCTTACGAAAACAATCGAGATTTTAACAAAATGCAATCGCAAACGCCTTGGCGACTTTATTTTTCAGCGGTCAAGGGCCGAGGAAACGTCCACATGCATAATAACTATTGAAAAATGAGCTGCTTTTAATTTACGTAAATTCATTTGTACTTCTTCTTTTGTTTGAAACGTTAGGCAAGCCAAGCAGTCTGTAATTGTTGCTTATTTTTAACACACAGTAAATAATTTTGGCATCGCTCAATAGTGATGAAGTAAACAATTGATTGAAATTTTACGTGTCTTATGTAAACGTTTAAGCAGAAAATACATTCAAGCATAGGTTTATTGCGTGTTTAGTTTTACTTAAAAATTAGTTTCGCCCATTGTCTCCCTAAAATATGCCGGTGATGTGTTGCAATTGTAAGCAGTTCGTAGTCAAATTAAACTATTGTTTCTCATGCTGATTAAACGTCAGACTCTTTCAGTTATATATGTAACCGACATTTTTCTGGATGAAAATACTAAACAGTCTACTAAATTCGCTAACACACAATGCTGTACCAATAGACCTGTTCCAACAATGGCTGGGAAAATTTGTTTCGCATTCAGATGCGACGGGTTTGTTTTCTTGGTGTACGTCTCTTCCACGACAGGAAGGAAACCTCACTGTTTCAACAATGCACTGCATCATTCACCAATCATCCTCAGAAACCAATACATAAATAACTAAAATCCATATGGCAAAATGACTCACAACTGTTATTTAAATTCACTTCTTAAAATAAATTGTTCGTCATGCTTCTATAATCATGCAGTTGCGATATCGTATTGAAGAACCATAGATTTCGTCTAACTTCGACCCCTAATGTAAAATTGGATGATTATTGCTGCAATATTCCGAAATGGGACTATGTTTCTGTATGTTTATCAACACGCCAACGATCATATTTCTACCAGTAATGGATAATTAATTATGTATTTTGTCGCACAATAGCCCAAGTTACTAATTCATTCGCCGATCTAAAATCGCTTCAAATGTATCCTCAGAAAGCTGACACTAATTTAATAAAATCGCTACACAAGCAAGTATGTTATTTATAACTTGGTGGTCGTCGAACAAAGCTGGTATTTCAGTGCACAAAGTAGGTATGTTTCCAGGGATATAAATGTTCTATAGAAATATAAAAACGGAGAAAATTTTGGCATACGCGACGTGTATTCATGAAATTGCCGATGTAACGGCCACAAAGTCGAGAAGTCTACAGTCTGCGATACAGAAGGTTTGCTATTGATACGTTGTATGAGTAAAAACACTACCTTTCAACACGATCTCGCAGTATGCTTATAGCACTATGTAACGTCACATTAGTTTACATGATACTTCACATTTATCGAGTCAAAATTTTTTGTTTATACATGATTTGTCAACATAGATGAAATTTCACCCTTTGACAAAATTGCCGGCCGTCCCATTGTTTTCGAAAAAGTATGACATCATCGGAATTTAGAAGCATGTATGCAAATTTCTTTTTGTAACAGAAAGTCATCGATTGTATTACATGTAGTCATAAAATTTTACCCATCATGAATACTCGTCCGAGTATTCGCAAACATTACTTACATTTAATTATATATTACAAAAAAATATAAACGTCTATATAACGAAATATCTCAAACCTCCCGGTAAAGCAGTATTTTATTCATTTATATTGGTCATATTGACGTAATTATGTTCCGGATATTTGGTCATAATTTGTATAGTGTACTGCCTAATATATAACGAAGTTGGCATTCTGAGTATGGAATTTTAAAGTATATGAGAGGCTGGCCTGAGTTTTGGATCTGTACTGTATTTGTCCAAAAATGAAAAATTTCATTGTTCTAACTGCATTCTTGTTGCTGTGTATTGCCGTCTCAGAAATAGCTGGGAAATGTTGTGGACGTGGAAAACACGGTGAGCCATATCTTTAGAAAATACATTTTGAAACAACATAATCATCGATCTTTCATACTTCCCTGTGTGCACGCTTGTACCATGAAAGTAGATTGGGAAGTGGAAGTCTGTTACATTTCACTCTTTGATTCCGACAGCCGTCTACATCATTCTAGGCGTATGGATGGCCGTTCACAAACATTTACTAGAAGATTTTTCCAATCATCGGATACAATGTTTTGACATTAATCGTTTTGCTCAAATCATATATATATTGAAGTACTTGTAGTAGTTGGTGATGGTGGGAAACAATTGCGTCTCTCCGCAACTATTGGATTAATTGATTTGAAATTTTCAGTACTTAATGATGGTTAAAGCCGATAAAGGCTGCGGAGTCCCATTTGCTTTCGAGTGGACACACCCAAAATTTGGATGTTAATGTAAACACTGTTTGTTAAATATAGTAACACTGTATTCTGACACGTTTGTCGGACAATCTTTTTTTACAACCGAGGTGAAACCTCAGGTACAGACTAGGCCGGTACCGGTAGGGATAGATTCATATAAATGAGTAATGCTCTCTTGTTTTAAGTGTATTAGCCAGTGAAATATCGTATTTTTTTTTCTATAATTCCAGGCTTCTGTGAAGATTGTGCCAGAGTCAGCCTCTTTGGACACCGGAAGTGCTGTGGAGAAGGAAGTGGATATGGATATGGCTGCAATATCTTCTGCTGCAATTGTGGATCCTGCAGACATGGGCATGCTTCTATCACTTGTGAGTTTTTTTTTTATCTCTAATTATTATTACTGCTATATATACCTTGCTATATTACATTTCATTCCGATCTAAAATTTGAATATATTTTTGATACAAATTTGTTTTTAGATAAAAAGTACGGCCACAAATACGGCGGAAAATACACATGCAAGCAAGAGAAAAAATATTATCATGGTGTAAAAGATGAAGACGGACAAGAACGCGACACATGGGAAGTTTTCAACAAAATAGATCAGAACGAGGATGCGACCATCAGCCCTGATGAATTCCTAGATGCAATGAGAGATCGATTGACTGTAAGCTTTGTTAGATATATATTCGTTGTTTTTCGGGTACTCTTCTCCCTACATAATAGAAATAGGAAGCAAATGTGCCAATGAAAAAAATGCATTTATGACACTGTTGCAGATATGTGGCTACAATTTGGTCTAGTTATAACTTGTGTAAGTGTTTGATGGGAAGCAGAGGTTATTAACGTTAGTCATGATTTTAGGTTAGTATATATAAGTAATAAACACTAACTTTAGATGATTAATATATATATATATATACTGTGTATCTAACCAGGACAAATCCATTGCTACCATTTTTGCTTCCCATCTCCTAAGATCGAACGATCGTGGTGATATTTCGGCCTTTCTCGATACAATCAAATACGCTGATGACGATTACGATGACGACTCGAGAGACGGAAACGAGAACGCTCATGATGCCATTCGCACGCTTGCTATAGAGTTCAAAAGGATGGATGCTGATGACGATGGCTTTATTCAGGCTTCTGAATTTGACAGGGATTTGGAATAAACAATAATCCCTCCACAATTAGTTATGATAATTGTTGAATTTAATACGAGTATGTAAACTATGGATTAATCTAATCCAATGCCTAACTAACGTCTATTCAGATATTGACAGCACTTTAGATATTTACGTTCTGGTTGTGATATTATTAATATTAAAATTTCATCAAAGCAACTCTTTTGTCTGTTGTGAGTTAGAAAAGTACCGATGTATCGGTATCGGGCAATTTTTGGGTATCGTTATCGGCTAAATTTAGACCGATATTTCCGATATATTTAGGTTTAAATCTGATCCAGAATGTTTTAACAAATTATTTAGTATACGGATGTTAAAAAAATTATTTGTTGCGCGAGGGAATCATGTTCTCAGTATTTGACTCGTTATCTCTGAGCCATGCTCCCCCCCCCCCCCCAAACCGCGCGAATAGAAATGGGAACAGGATTCTGATCTATTTCCTCCTATTTATCAGCCTAACGCCCAACTATTTGGCTTCTTTCGCTGTCAAATTTTTATATCGACATTTTTAATATTACATGGTATTCATGAAGAAATATATCAATCGAATATTAGTGGATTTTCCGTGTATAAACCACAAAATACGACGTTATATTGGCACAAAATTCTGCGCACGCAACTCAATGTATCAGATTGATAGGATAAGTAAACATTTATTTATTTCACTATCCATAGTAGCCAAGCCAATAGAACGCCGAGATTACTAACGTCCAGCCTAGCGTCTAGGTGACCAATGCATCTGAATCAATTAATGCATTTGGATCACAAACATCAATTTATTATGTTCTTAAATGTCTCCTTTTCGAGCTGAGTTCTAATTTGATTATTTTTTGACAATTCACTACCAATGTCCATGCAGTAGTTCGTTGGAGAAATCATTTCAGTCACATGAGGGATGAGCTGTTGGGAACATCATGACATCATAGACTGTGGCTCATTTTTCACGACAAGCGGATTAATCTGCACGTGTCGCTATGCGCATTTACCATGTAGATTGTAGATGCAACCGCATTGCCAATTTCCTTCGAAATACATTGACTGTATATGTACATTACTTGAATGGCTGTATATCCATATGATATTGGCTGTGTATGAAAATCACTCAAATGGCTGTATATATATACAAAGTTGTATATATATCAAATTGACGGAGTATGTACATCACTGAAATGGATGGATATTGAGTTGAAAGTATACTCATATGATATTGACTGTACCTCGTATATGCATATTTGCCTGGCTTTATATATAAGTATATCACGTTACCAACCCCACTCACACAATGATCCAAATGATAACTGACCTCAAATTTGCTTATTATATGGTTTCACTTTGCTTTGAATCATACTCTCAAAAAGAATCCTATACATCAGTGGTTCTCAACTGGGGGCCGGTGGCCCCCCAAGGGGGCCACGGCGCATGGCTAATAATTGATCATAAAAGGACTTCGATTGCATATTTTCCAGTTAAAATAAAATTCTCCATTCAGGCGTTTACCGCAGTTTAATTGCCCTTAAGAGGTTATTTGCGATCGCAGGGTGTATTCGCTTTCTTGTACGTGAATTGTTTGATCATAATGGAATTTGGAATGTATCAGTCAAAATAGTTCGCCGGTAGGGCGTCCAACCTGTAGACGGGCAATTTCACTAGACCGGAAGTTAACCTCAGCCATCGTATTATAGACGTGAAAACGTCTTTGTAAATACCCAATATATATCCTAAATACGAAAGCGGAACGACAGTTACGTTGGCTTTGGTTTTACCAAAGTAAATCGAGACGACAGAGAACGTGCTCAATGCTTGCATTGCTCGCATGTAATGAGCAATAAAACATTACGTACATCTAAACTCCAAAATCACCGGGGGGGTCGGGGGTGTCAAAAGGCGTCAGAAGTGCCAAAAGGCGTCAGAAGGGGGCCACGAGCCATAAAAGCTTGGGAACCACTGCTATACATGTACATGTACCATCCATTTTTTCGTGGTTATAAACTCAATCTGCTTGGGTATTTATCTTCACAGGAAATTATCGATGTCGTTATAGAGACCGTATGGCGTCATATGATTGGAAAACAGGTCAAATTACCACCAGAGGACGAAGTTATCGTGAACACTGATAAAAGAAAAGAAGTTCCTACCTAAAAAAATAAACCAAAAATCATAAACGTCGTGTAAATAAGGATGGTGTCCCAAGACAATATAACCAGCTCGCGAAATAAATGACGCTTGTAAAAGATACTGAGCTTCCTGTCATGTAGACTTGTTTTCGATAAACATTTTTATACTTAGAAATAGCACGGAGTACACACTATTCAACGGAAGGGTGGTAATTTTACATTAGTCGGATAGTAAGAACAGAATACAAGCAAAAGAAAAATTGAGGTAGCTAACAATAGATCTACTGTCTTTCCAATCTTGGAGCGAACAAATTTTTACTGTGATGTTCATACTGGACTCGATCGACCTGCTTATTTACTCTGAACAAAAATTTTAATAATATATATTTCATTTATTAGTAATACATATGAGCAGTTGTAATATATATACTGTTGTATCAAAATGCATAACTTCATAGTCTTAGCGTTGCTTTTACCCATGGTTGTCTTGGAAGTATCATCTCGGTGTTGTGGACGAGGTAGACATGGTTCGTATCAATTATTAATACTTGCTGTTTGTGTCTTTGTTCTAATATCTGGTTCGCTTCCGTCAATTCCTATAATAAAACATCTGGTTCTTTAGGACGTTGCAACGACTGCGCCCAAGTAGGCTTGTTTAAATACAGAAAATGTTGCGGAAGTGGGAGCGGATATGGATATGGATGCAACATATTTTGCTGCAGATGTGGGTCGTGCAGGAGGGGTCATCCTCATTTTGTAAAGTTGTGTAAGTACCTGTTGTGATCACCAGTTACGTTGTTTAAAAGTGACAGGAATGGAGAAATCAATTCTTACAATACTCACATTTTCATTTTATATCTATATCTACAGCTGTATACGTGCTAACTGTCAAAGATTGAATATTTAAATCAAATGAAAATACAAAAATAAAAATATACTCGAAAAATCTAAATAAAACAGACGGTTTGCAAAAATGAGCAAGGAAAAACAACTACATCAATTAGCTAGAGAAGTAAAAAATAACGAAACAAATATATTATCTTAAAAAGTTGAACCAAACAATTTTTTATTCGGTTCAAAAATGAGTACCACCAACCGATGCCGACTGTTGTTATACGTAATTAACGTGAATTAGTCTGTATTGTCTAAGCAAAATACTAAACAACCTAACTTTGAATATTTTTAAAACATTGAAGATGGATTTTGGGCAAGTGCAAGGTATAGATGTACAAAACTCTATAACTCTGAGGAAAACAATAATGCTGAGATGGATGCTCTCAAAGATACATGGGAAACTTTCAACGCAATAGATCAAGATGGAGACTCAGTGATCAATCCAGACGAATTCTTGAATGCCATAAAATCTCGTCTTTCGGTGAGTGTACCTCAGTTACAAATTCTACAAAATATACTCGAAAACTCGATACTATAAATTCACCGATGCAAACAGTTTCCCCGAAATACATTCAGCACGCAGTTTTAAACTGGTATTGTGTTTCAAGTTTCCACCACCCCTGGAATGATTGGATTAATTAAACAATGTTTCATGGTGGAGACTAGGTTGTGTAATATTATTATCAAGCCCTAAATTTGGGTTCAGACCAGGCGTAAGATAAACATTATATGGTCGAGCAGAATCGTTTGGAAAACGATATTTTAAATGTAACTTGATTATTAATTCTACATTCTGTAAACACTAAATGCAGAATGAAGAAGCTCATCTACTTGCTTCCGACCTTCTGAAGTCAGACGACACCGATGAAATCATGTCTTTCATCGATGCTTTCAATGAAAGGGAAGTAATGGAAGCAGATGAAAATGCGCATAATGATATTTTATTCATACTTGCTCGAGAATTCAACGAAATGGATAAAAACGACGATAGGCTTATCCAGGCTGCTGAATTCGATGAAGATTTAAAATAAATTCTACATTTAAATCAATGTAAGGACTGACGTGGGAAAATATAAATAATATAAAAAGTAAAGATTTTGTAAAAAAAAATTGAGGAATAATCGAATTTTATCTAGATTTAATACAACATCACTAGTGACTAAAGTCTGAAAATCCGTTTTTTATACTGAGTCAAACAAGTTTACATTATGTTTACGTTATCTTCTCGCTTTTAACAAATTTTGAAGCTAAATAATATTACTGTATTGGGAATTTCTATTATTATTACATGAAATAAAGATATATTAATATGAAGTAAATTTTTGCTGTGAATTTGTCATGTTACTCATTCTCATGAAAATTTTAATGTTGAAATTCTAAAAATACTTGCTTTAAAATTGGTCCAACTATTGAATTGTAGATCTACATCGTTTCTTGGTGGAAATTGCCGCCTAATAACATTCATTGATTTGAATTTTATTACATAGCAAAAGCGATTAATAGCAGTCGCGTCCCAACGTTCTTTCAGTTGTCATCGTCAAAACCTGCTGCCATCTGCAATCCTTCATAAGCTGGACTCATAATCATTTACTCACAAACTTTTAGTGTCAGTTGGAAGAGCAATACTGTGCTGGAATTCGAGTCAGAAATAACAATCACTAAATGTTGGTAGTAACATACTAACCTAAGTCAAAACTTCGGCAACTGGCGACAGTTTAAATTTATACTGTATACCAGTGGTTCCTAACCTTTCTGAGCCTGCCGAACCCCTGCGATTTTCTACAAGCTCCCGTCGAATCACATCGTACTGAACGGTTGAAATTAGGGTCCCAATTCTAACTTTATAAAAAGGGAAGCTATTTCGTGCAAGGTTATAGAAAATGAACATTGTGGTGTGACCTTAGGGACCAACACCCCGCGAGGATATAGCCATTGTTTATTCACAATAGTGTCGACGACAGGGGAAGAAATGGCGAAAAACTGATAAAAAAAAAAATGGCAACTTCAAAAATCCAAAAAAGGATAATATGCCTCAAAAACGTTGGAAGTTCAAGTCAACTTGATTGAAATGCGGATAAAAGTGCTTTCCACTTGTTTTATTTTACAGAAATAGAGATAGGATTTGACTTGGCTTCATATCGAAGTTGTCCAGAACGAATGATGATAATTTTAAGCAAAGCTCTGCTATGAAGTATTCTTTGTCGCAAATGTATCACTTAGTAAAATTTAGACACAATCTGATTTTGCATTCATTTATGTACATTCAGTGCCAATCTTCGAATTAAACCGTAAAACTGCTCTTAATAATGTCATTAGTACGGTCAGTTATGAATAAGGTTCACGCAAAATCTCAAGCTTAAAGATCTTCGGTTCTTCGGCAGATCTTCTAACAACCCAAGATATTTTAAAGCCTTAAGCAGAAAGCATCTAAGAGCGCTATCATATTTAAGTACACACACCCAAGCGTACGACATCTAGATATTAGTTTTCAATGGAATGTACTGGTAACTAGAATCTAAGGACTAGAATAACCGAACCCCAGGGGTTGTATTGAACCCAGATTAAGAACCACTGCAGTCTGTACGCAGTGTCACGCATTGTTACATCAGTCTATAATGAGTCAAAAAGACGGCGTAGTTGGGAGTCGTGATGTTTTTTAGTTTCTGGAATAAACGCCGTTTAGATCACCAAACATTGGTCGCCGCCGGGGTTATAATTAACTCAAATTCTTACTTAGAAATATGTTTCACAGCAAATTGGTATAGTTAAGTGCTATGTCAGAGTATGGCGAGCATTTCTCTTTTTTTCATTCTTTAAGGAAATTGGCTTAAAATAAGGTCACGCGCAGTCACTCGGAAATCAAGGAGATTGGTCCACCATAGCATAGAATTTTGCGCGATAGTCCGGTTGGTTTTCTTACACTGTTTTTCATACGTTATAAGTTGGTTGAAGTATAACAAATATCATAACAAACACAACTCATACATAACACAATAGAAGGGATTTATTACTATGGTTCAAATTAAAAGGCCGCAACGCTATCATGTTAAGTCATCATTCGTGTCTAATGATCTGATTAAATAAAATAAAAATATTCTCTGAGAGCCTTAACTGGAACTATTGGATTATTTAGTTTTTAGAGTCTTGAATATAAATATTTGAAAATAGCAGATTCTCGCGTTGGACTTTTGGCAAATTTTGGTAATGTTCTGTATTTAATCGCCAACTACGTGTAGGTACATTGTTTATCATTGCAATAATGAATTAGTTTAAATGAATTAATTTATATCGTGTTTATCAGGGTTCTGAGTAAATTAACAATGAGAGATCATGATGTTGAAAATATTTCTAGTTGAATTAGATTAGCTACTTGCAAAATGTGAAAGAGATTTTGATAAGTTTTCTTATGTTTCTGTTTATTTAAGATCTTTGTCAAATTCAGCTGCTTGGATCATTCCGTCGTTATCAGCATCAAGTTTCTGGAATTCCTGCTTAATAAGATCATAAAGATCTTTGCTTTGTTCCAAGTCCTGTCCGTCTTGCTCGGTAACGACATCAAGAAGGGCCAATACATCTTCTTCGTTGTTGGAGTCCAAAACATGGGAAGCAACTAGTTGACCGGATTCGTTGTCCTGGTGATATAAGATAAAAGTGCTGTTAGGGCAATTACTAGATAGTGAGTCACGCCTTACTACCATATAAGCCTAACCCTAACACACTAGAGATGAACTGATACCACTTTCCGCGCCGATACCGATCCGAGACCAACAGAAAACATGCCGACACGGATATTTCGAAAAGCCATAGCCCGATACTATGTAACCATTGTTTTGGGTGTTCAGGGCAGACGAGTTAAAACGATAGTCTGTGAGCATCATTCATAGCGCGCTTTATTTAAGCTTGAAAAAGAGATATTCCAGATAATAGGAAATTGATGTTTGTGATCCTGATGTATTAATTGATTCGGAGGCATTGTGCACTGACGTTCGTAAATTAGGTGTTCAATTAGAAAATTCATTTTGTGCAAATATAACTTCGTATTTTACACATTGGAAAATATTCGATTGATATATATATATATATATATATATTCATAATTACCATGCCAATATAAAAATTTGGCAGCACAAATAGCCAAATTAGTTAAGAGGTAACGACACAAGTAATTTCAACATTTGTATTCCAACTTATTTTTAAAAGCATTCTGGATCAGATGAAAAAGCTAAATATATCGGCCTACATTTAGCCGATACCGATACCGAAAAAATTTCTTTGGTAAATAAAGAACTTAATTGGTTGATGTACAGTACAGTGGTTTATCTCACCAATAATCTGGCAACCATTGCTTCACGAAACTCGGATTGCGATATAGCTCCGTCTTCATCTTTATCAAGTTCATTAAACACGTCCCAGGTATTCTTCAGATCTTCCTGATTTTTTTGTTGAACCTCCTCGTCTCCCAATTTCAATTTACAAGAGTATTTTTTGCTCAAAAACCAACCAGCTGAATTCAAATGAAAAAAAAGCATCGCAGTTGCATGAAACTCAACGATTTTACTTTTAATTACCTTTAACTTGAATCACCGGTCTACACAATGTAGAGTCTCAGACTTTGTTATAAAAACGATCGAGCAATGCTCAAGTATATGGACACGAAGGTGGGGGCATCAAGGAATAAAGAAGGCATTTCCGGCTGAAATTAGTTTATTTTTAACGGTAACTTGGTCATTTATTGTCCAAGTAACAGCAATTTAAACACTGAGGCATTCCATGGTACTTTCAAAACAGTATCAACAACTCACAAAGGAATGTAATCGATGCACGTCCATTTCTGCATAATCCACAGTTACAGCACAATATGTTGCATCCTTTCCCGTGTCCACTACCGGAACCACAGCACTTCCTGTGTCCCCATATGCTAACTTTAGCGCAGTCTTTGCAGAAGCCTGTCAAAATATAACGTACAACACTATCCAACTTTTTCAATCCTAGAACAGATTCCATTTGAAAGGGAATTAACTTGTTACGAGAACACCATTCATTTAAGTAAAATGTGTAGAAATACTCTAGACCAGGGATCGGCAACCTACGGCCCGCGGGCCGGATCCGGCCCGCGGAGCACTATAATCCGGCCCGCGACGCTTCACTGAATTATGGTAACAAAACATCCGTTTTGACGAATATATTCTTTATATTATAACCTAACAAATATATAATTCACAATTACTCGTTTATTGAGCATATAATTTAATTATAATTAAGCAAATGTCAACAAAACGCAGAAAAGTTGATGCTAAGTGCAAAGGGTTCAATGGCGCCGAAAATATGCGAGTGAATTTTATGAGATGCAATGAGGAAATAAATCTATCCTCTATTCGAGAGATGTATCACTGCTTGATTTTTATTATAAAAAGTACCATCCGTTCGATTTTTCAACTTAAAATATGTGCGGCTCGCCGATGACTTGCACCCTTAATTTTGGCCCGCGAGCGACAAAAGGTTGCCGACCCCTGCTCTAGACCATGGCTGCCCAACTCGCAGGCTGCATGTGGCCCGCCAGGCTGTTTACAGCCCGTCCTTTTAAATGAGTTTATAAGCAGACTTTTGAATTTTCTAGCATTTTATTTAGGCTAAAGTGGACATCGATGTTCAAGTTTTTTTTTATATTTTTTGCAGAACTGCGCGTTCTGTTCCACAAACTCGAAAGCTACTGTGCGATCATCGGCGACAAGACGCTGAGGAAAATTATAGGAATGAATTTGCAACCCAAATTTTCAAATTCATTTTGATTATTATCTCGTGTCGACTTTGACCGTAGTGAAAAATATCTTTGCTACTGGCTTCGGGATTTGTTGTATTATTTTTTTGCATATAGTAAAACTCATGGGATCACGTCACTGCAGATCGGTTCAAAATTCTGATAAAATTTATTTATTGGCATAAAATTCACGCGACATTTGGCGCACATTATGCTCATTTAAGAATTGACACTTGAAATAAATAAATAAATAAAAACATCATAACGCGAATATAACACTCAATTTTGACGTCTTTGTCTGTTAGTGAAAAGTGTGTTCTCGTCAGAAATCCGCCAGTGTGTTGTGCTGTCTAAACGTTTGATTGAGCGATGCGTAAGTGACGTGCCGCGGTTAGATCACGTGTTACCAGTAGGGATGGGAATTTCAGGGAAAACACTTTAACCGTTAACCGGGTCAAATTAATTGGTTAACCGGTTAACGTTTGACGTAATAATTGCTTCTGACATATGGAAGTATTTTAGTAAAACCCGAATTCGTTATTAAATGTCATTTATATTGCAAATTTTCAGTTTTCGACGTGCAAATTCTACTCTGAGATATCATAAAAAAAACATCAACTGCGCACTTGTTGGACGACATTGAATACACGATTTTGTAATAAAGTCGTGAACAATATATTTCGACCGAAAACTGATTCTGAATAATATATCATTGTCAAATTTTCATAATCAGCAATCTTGGTACTTCAATTATTTTTCACAATTATTGGGTCTTTACCGGTCCTTACCAATACAATTAATAACATTCTCTCGAATTAAACGCCACAGAAGATAAATTTGCGATGACGTAATCATTTTTGAAGAAATTTTACATTATAAAAATGATTTGTACCTGGGACGTCAGTTAACGATTAAAATAAATTGTAACCGTTAACCATCTAAAATCCGTTAACCGGTTAACTATTCCCAGCCCTAGTTACCAGACATTAGAACAGTAAACTGCTACTTTAATATTCGAATATTTTGCTCAGCCCCTACCCTGAACTTGCTTATAACGTATTTTGTAATTTCTAACGTAAATCAGAACTTAGCTGGGGTTCAAGTTTGGTAAAAACATTTGCGGCCCGCAATGAATTTTCTCATGTGAAAGTGGCCCGCGACACCAAAACGATTGGGCAGGCCTGCTCCTGCCAGACAATGTCACAAGTACTTTTCTGAAAGTGGAATTGCCACTGAAAATATAGGTGCAAAAAATCTCTCACGTGCAAAGATCTACATATACGTTTATTGAAGTCTACATTATCCGGAAAACTTGAAAGATGATTTCTATGACTAAAACAGACAATATCTAACAAGATGTTAAATGACCTCATTTATATATAAATCCTGAATCCGACCCTGGGGATATCCCAATAGAACAAGATTTGCTGATGTCCTAAATAGAACAAAATTAATATTCGAATATCAAAATAATCGTTAGAATAGAGAACTAAACCATTTAGACCGGCAAATGCGTCCAGCAATCTATAATTTTTTCACACTCACCATTTTTTCCACGACCACAGCAAATTCCCGAAATTTCCGCTACGGCAAAAAGCAGGAATATAGCACTAATAACTATAAGATTATTCATTGTAAATATCCCCGTTGAGATCGAGAGTTATTACTATAAATATGATTTTATTGAAAAGATATGTTTATGGTCAGCGTTCTTCAATGTCCAATAGTACTCAGTTATAACGAGAAAGAAGGCAATTGAGAATGCCAACCTCCCAAAAACGCAACTAAATTGCATACCACATTGTTCTTTCACGAATGCGGGAGTGATACTATGTATTTTCGTTCAAAGCAAAGGCAGTTTCATTTTTAGAATTCAGATAGTTTTATGGTACAGACTTTGTGTTTTACTCTCGGCATAATATATATATAAATCCATATTAGTCTACAAACTAAATCTAACTTCAAGCTATCTATATTAATCTATGGAACATAAGGGCATCACAAACATCCTAGTCGCGCGGTCGTGTCATATGGATAATAAAGAAACTGCTCCCAGATACGTTAAACTCCTTAAACCTGTCAATTTACATGACCCTGGGCACGTATGTTACATAAAATTATTTTGATACACTGCACGTACATCCGTTTTCCGCTGTCACAACCACAGGACTGCTTTGGAAATCTGACGAAGGTGATAATCAGCTATTGTTGCTTTCTTGCATTATATGAGACATGAAGACCTGTCTTCCTCAATGCGTCTTGTATGAACGGTGAATGCATAAAATAGTCCCTGACAGAAGCTTGAAACAAATTCTATGGGCTTGACTTGCATTATAGTCACGTAATTTCGCTCAGAACGGCTTTCTTATTCTATAACAGATCACATACTCAGATAGATCATAACTCAGCTACTATCTCGTTGTTTCTAACAAATAGTATTTTCGTGAACATAATGTGACTCACCACAACATTATTAAACGGGCAAAATTCACAGATATTTCATTACTTTATTAATCCTATACGCTGGTTGGGGAGGGTGGAACGTGCGCGATTGAGCAAAGGGTTACTTGGCGTTTCTAGAAATAAGTTATCACTTTTTAGCAGATGCGATTTAAAAAAAATTTGCATGACTCTCAAAATATCAAGAGTGGAAGGCCGATGCCATTTGACGACGGTTGATAAAAATTAACGAAGAAAAAAAAATGTGTCCTCTTCCATATCGAAGTCAGTATATATAGAAGTGGCGGACTCTGTAATTTGGGTGGTCAGGCCAGGAATCTCTAATACACATCCCAAATTCGATTAGAATCGATGACGAGTACTGTGCAAATGCCAATGTCTACTACTCTACTACATTACCTCGGTAAAAGAATCAACAAAGTGGAGAATATTTTTCTATTTTGCTCCAACTCAAGACCAAACAAAAGAACAAGTACAACAAATTACATTAACAACAACATTTTATTTCCGCTATACAGAACTTATATATCAGTCTAATATCAATCCAAGACATGCTATCTTGTCAGCAAGTGCGGACAATACATTGCGAACACTCGTTTTGCCGAAAAATAAAGAGTATTTGTTGAACCAAAACGGAATTAATTGTAAAACAACAAAAAAATTATTGAATTCAACAAAATATGCATCATGATTATGTTATGTTCATTATATAATATTTCGCATACATTGGTGTATGGAAAATGATAGAGACGACCTGCTAAGTCAAGAGCATGACTTACAAAGTGTTTTCATGTCCTTATATTAAAAATTTTGAAACGGATATTTGTTTACGGATATTAGCTGTCAATAAATGGAAATTCCACTAGACCACATTATTGAGTCAAAAAGCATCAAAAACAAAAATGTACAAACATACTGTGAATTGCATAATGTCTATACCACATCCCAATAATAACATACAGTATATTTTGCAATATTGTCGATAACTAATATTGGAATATACTGATACTAGTTAAATCCCACTTGGAAATTCGATATTATTCGATAATAATTCATGTCACATATGAAATCAGATAAAAGATTTTAGAATGCCAGTCATGTCAAACTTGCACCTTTAAGAGGGTCAAAAATCTTACTTTCATTAAAACAATGTCATCAGAACTCGCAATTATCATACAATAAATCTGAATGATTGGTATCTAAAGTGATATAATATATATTCAATAGCATTAAGCTATAGTGAATAACAATATTTAAATACCAATTCAAAATCTACATCGTTCCTTGAGCGTAATTCTCGCCCAATAACCTTCATCGATTTGAATATTTTCAAATAGCAAGAGCGATTAATAGATGTCGCGACCCAACCTTTTTCCACTTGACATTGTCAAAAACTGCCATCTTCATAAGCTGGCCGAACATATTTTTTTTCTAAATGCATTTGATCACAGACTTTTAATGCCGTTGAGAAGAACCATACTGCACTGAAACTTGAGTCATAAATCACGAAATGTTGATCTTGACATACAGTAATCTAACATAAATCCAAACTGGCGACATTTTAAATTCTACGAAATTTTTGTATTTTACGAAGTGCCACGCATCGTTACATTAGTTTATAATAAGTCAATGAGAACGCATAGTTGGGATTCGTGATGTTTCTTTTTTTTACTTTCCTTAATGAACGCCGTTTCTTAAGGTCACGATACATTGAACAACTTTGGGGTTACAATTAACTTAAAATTTTATTAAATTTTTTATTAAGTATTTGTATTTACAGCGACTAAACCGTGATTGTTTTGGTAAAGTGAAGTACTTACCATATATACCTTACCATATATGCCAGATTTCAGTGATCAAAAAAGCCAAGACAAGGAACCAAAAAGCGAACAAATTTATCAAGTACAAAATCCTCATGATTGAAACTCTTGGCACAATAGGGGATTTGCACAGTTGGCAATACGCTGATTCAGATCAATTGATTTTGTGAGCCACACAAATGTTTTTTCCCATTGAAAGTTGTATTTTCGGTTGCTATTATGATGATTTCCACCTCAGCATGATGAAGGATTCAAAAATGAAAGGTAATTATTGAACGGCAGACCCAGAATGTACACCCGACACAATACAGTCAAGCTGACCTCCATATAAAAAAGTTTGAAAAAAAGAAATGATAGGCGGATACCAATATTTTACAGGTGCCGCTTCAGTATATGTGATATAAATAAATGTTCCACCCAAACTTGCGATATACTTTATAGTATTTCCCCCGTAGCTTACTATTAAAAAGAGTGTTGGCGGTTTCAAACGAGTTTACATGTTTGAAACATGTATTGCCGTACTAATACCGTGTTCCCCGTAAATAATACCTAGCCTGAAGTGATTGTAACCCTGTTCTATTTTAGGAGAAACATGTTAGCAAAGTTTGGAACTGTTTATCAGAGCATTCGCGAGATCAAATTTAAATTATTGCAATTTAACTAGAGCTTATCGGAAGGCATAATGACAATTAAGTTATTTCTTTACAACTATTTATGGAATTAGGGAGCTATGCTCAAATATATGGACACGTATAGCGTTTCGCCAATTTCCGAAAATCATACCACAGTCCACCGTTCGGCATAAAAAAATTTCCACTTTCGCTAAGCACTATACTAGATCCACCGGCAAACGCCCTGAACGGAATCAGCTGATGCGCGTCCGCAGAACATTTGGTGACGTCACAGCAAACAAAAAACGAATCCAACAGAGCTAAGAGAATATTTAAAATATATAAAAGTAATGGTCTTCTAAAAAAAATTCCGTCTTCAACCACTGAAAATTTGAAGAAATTGGTCCAGTAATCAAAAAGAAAAGCGACTTTTCAAGTTTTTCACTCGGTGTCCAAAAATAATGCAAAACGATCGGTATGTCTACTAACGTGTCCAATAACAACTGAAAACTGACATAGCTAAGCAATAGGCAATTGTTGCACCCAGAATATTTTATTTCATGTAATTTTAATAATAGACACTAAAATATCGATAGACATCGAAAAAGCCAAAACGCCTTGATCACTCTGTAAGAAACACGAACACGAAAGAAGCGGATTTTATTATTACTTGTAATGTAGTTCTAATTACAAAACCTCAAAGTTAACATGTTCAGTCATCATTTGTGTCTAGTGATCTGATTAAATAAGACAAAAATATTCTCTTAGACTTAGAACCTCAACTGGAACTATTAGTATATATATGTAGGCTACTATATAGAGTCTTGAATATAAATATTTATAATAGCATGACAGGATTATCGTTGCACAGATGTTTATATGGTTAAATCTAATTCATGTTATCAGGGTTCTAACTAGGGTGACAATGAAAAGGGTAGGGTGTTGAAAATATTTATAGTTAAATTCGAATAGTTATTTTTAGAACGAAAAAGATATTATGAATAATTTTGCAATAAATCTTCTGTTTCTGTTTATTTAAGATCTTTGTCAAATTCAGATGCTTGGATCATTCCGTCGTTATCAGCATCGAGTTTCTGGAATTCCTGCTTCATAAGATCATCAAGATCTTTGCTTTGTTCCAAGTTCTGTTCGTTTTGCTCGGTAACGGCATCAAGAAAGGCCAATACATCTTCTTCATTGTTGGAGTCCAAAATATGGGAAGCAACAATTTGGCCAGATTCGTTGTCCTAAAATATTTTGATGTAAATTGTTGTTGCGAATTCAAATTATGTACATTTATATAAATTCAATTTGAATGTAAGTATAATTCGTTTTAAATTGTTATAAAGGCACGGCCATGATTGAGCAATAAGGGATTTCTGTGATGAAGAACCTTAACGGTAAATATACGCTAGATGGTATACCGCGACGTTCTTTGCATATCTCACCAATAATCTGGCAACCATTGCTTCACGAAACTCTGATTGCGATATAACGCCGTCCTCATCTTGATCAAGTTCGTTAAACACGTTCCAGGTATTTTTCAGATCTTCCTGATTATTCAGATGAACCTCCTGGTCACCCAATTTCGACTTACAAGAGTATTTTTTGTGTATGAACCAACCAGCTGAATAAAAGTGGGGAAAAAAGAAATAGCATTACAGTTGCATGTAACCTAACGATTTTACTTTTAATTACCGGTAACCAAAATTCCCGGTCTGCACGAACAATACGCAAATATATGAACACGGTGGCGAATGCGATAAGGATTAAAGAAGCTATTTCCGAATGAAAATACCCTATTTTTAATGATAATTTAGTCATTTATTATCCAAGTGACAGCAATTTGATCAATGAGGCATTTCATTTGGTCCATTTGACGGCAATTTTATACAGTAGGCAGTCGAAAATGATTTATTGAATGATAATAAATATACTGGGCATTTCTATAATTTGAATCTTGAAACAGTATCAATAACTCACAATAAAATTCAATCGATGGACTTCCACTTCTACATGATCCACAGTTACAGCAAAATGCGTTGCATCCGTACCCGTATCCACTACCCCCGCCACAGCACTTTCTTTTGCCCAGTAGGCTAGTTTTAGAACAATCTTTGCAATAGCCTGTGAAATAATAACGTTTAAAACTTTCTCAATCCTAAAACATTTCATTTAAAATTAAATTAGTTTAACTCGAACCATTCATTTTTGTAAAATGAGGAAAAGTAATCAAGACAATGTCCCAAACACTTTTTTACTGGGAATAAAAATATGGTTGCTAAAATCTACATATCCGTTTATTAGAGTCTATATTATCAGAAAACTTGAGAGGTCATTCCTATATTCATAACAGATGATAGAACGAAATTTGCCGATATATTAAATATAACAAATTTGATGTTTGAATGTCACAATACCACTAGAAAGGAGAAATAAACCATTTACGGCGAATGCGTCCACCAATCTATAAATTTTCACACTTACCGTGTTTTCCACGACCACAGCAACGTGCCGAAATTTCCGCTACGGCAAAAAGCAGGAATATAGCACTAAGAACTAACAATTTATCCATTGTAAATATCTCAGATGAGAATAATAGTTGTTTCTAAAAATATAATCGCATCAAAAAAAGATATGTTCTTCGATGCCTAATATTACTACTGAGCTATATAGAAGGTAGTCAATTAAGAATATTGGCCCCCGAACAATTATATTTGATTGCATACCCTATTTTTCTTTCACGAATGCGTGAGTGATACTATGTATTTTTGTTTGAACCAACGGTGGTTTCTTTTTAAGAATCTTTTTTAGGATTTTAAGGTTACAGGTTTGCGTTTTACTCCAGGCAATACATACATATATTACCAAAATCTTGTAGTTATCTATTGTTTATAGATTAATGTGGATATATAACCCACATTCATCTATGAACTACAGGTAACTACAAGGTATCTGTATTAAATCTATGGAACATAAGCACATTATACACGACTTAGTCGCGCGGTCTTGCAATCTGGAAAATGAAGAATTTGCTCCCAAATAGTTTCTTAAATGTAATTTGCATGACCCTTGGCCGTACGCTGCATAACATTATCGTGATACACGGCACGTACATCCGTTTCGGCTGTCACAACACCGCTTTAGAGACCTGGAAGAAGTGATAATCATCTATTGTTGTTTTCTTGCCTTATAGACGTTTCTTCCTCAGTGCGCTTCATCGACATTTCGCATTGTTATATAAAAACGATAATTGACTTTAAAATAGCTTTAACAACATTATTTCAAGAGCCTTATTTTTTCGTAGCACGTACATCCGTTTCCGCTGTCACAACACAGCTTTTAAAACCTGGGGAAAGTGATAATCAGCTATTGTTGCTTTCTTGCCTGATAGACGTTTCTTCCTCAATGCGCTTTATCGACATTTTGCATTGTTATACAGAAACGGTAATTGACTTTAAAATAGCTTTAACAACATTATTTCAAAAGCCTTATTTTTTTCGTGGCTCGTACATCCGTTTCCGCCGTCACAACACAGCGTTGAAAACCTGGGGAAAGTGATAATCAGCTATTGTTGCTTTCTTGATTGATAGACGTTTCTTCCTCAATGCGCTTTATCGACATCTTGCTTTGTTATATAGAAAACTGTAATTGACTATAAAATAGCTTTAACAACATTATTTCAAGTGACTTATTTTTTCCGTTAATTCAGCAGACCTCCGTTTTTCATCGCTGCTCGGCAGGGACAATGCACGTTTTGCGTCCTGTATGAACGGTAAATGCGTAAAATAGGCCACACGGAAACTTAAAGGAAATTTTATGGGCCACAGTTGTAAGTCTTGACTTGCATTAAAATCACGAGTTTTCGTTCAAAGCGACTTCCTTATTTTTTTAAAACAGAACACATCCCCCAGAAAGAATACAACACAGGTTCTACTTTGTTATTTCTCTCAAATAGTATTTTCGTGAACGCTATGTGACTGATCACAGCACTAATAGGCGGTCAAACATTACATTATTAATCTTATACGTTGGCCTCAAGATCTGAGAGCGTGGAAGTGTAGAATGTTAGGGTCGAATGTATTATCGTCTAAATCCGGCCCTTAGTTGAACCTACGGGGGAAATCGCCGATTCGAGTATATTCTGCATTGTTATATAGCACTTGTTTTGCCGAGTTTAGGCTGTGAGCAAACTGCTTTTGTATTGCAGTAGACTAGTGAGCTACGTTTCATGATTTGCCGATGTGCCGATAAAGTTGGTAACGTGCCATACATATACTGTCAGGAATATGCATTTACAGCCACCTCATATACATATACAGCCAACCAAATATATGTATATATATACTGCCAAGTCATATGCATATATAGCCAACTGAATATACAAATACAGCCATCAAAGTGATGTACAAATACTGCCAGATCATTTTGTAAAATTACAATTTAGGTATATGCGGTTGCATCTACGAATTATATGCACATTACGGGTCGTTCATATAATTAGCACATTAAAAAGCGTAATAAACTCCGAATCGGCTAGTCATTGATGAGGTATTAGCATTAAGGGGTGGTTAGGCTTTACTTACATGATGATTGCGCACAAAAAGACATAAAACTACCAGTACTCACTCAGTACCAGTGGTACATGATAACTATACATTAGGTACCAATCTATATTATCCTAATACCCCACAACAGCTGATCGTTGATTAAAAAAATGTGTTGGCTGAAAATCTCTCTTCAGTTAACTATTCTTTGGCTACTGGCAATAAACTGTCCACAAACTAATCAAATTAGCGCTTGGTGGAAAAGATAAAACATAAAACTGCAGGTGCGTGTAGTTCTTGATTTAATAGGTGCCAATCTATGATGTCATAATACTCACAACAGTTGATCGTTGATAATACGAGAAATGTGCTGGCTGAAAACATCTTCTCAGAGAACTATTCTTTGGCTATTGCCAATAAACTGTCCACAAAATAATCAAATTAACGCTTGGTGGAAAATATAAAACATAGAACTGCCGGCGCGCGTAGTTCTTGATAAATATACAGTTGGCGCCAATCTATGATGTCATAGTAGGTGACCGTACATTTGAACCCATGTACATTTGAACCCATGCGTATATCCAAAGGTTCAATCTATATGCGGGTGCTAAAACCCATGGTTTAGGGTTAGTATGGGTTTAACTATCCGTGAAACAAAAAAAATTCCATAGGTGCAATAGCATACAGGTGCAATTGTCGTGGGTTCAAATGTACGTGGGTTCAAATGTAATGGAACCGTCATAGTACGCCATAACATTTTATCGTTGATAACACGGGAAATGTGCTTGCTCAAAACCCCTTTCAGAAACTATTCTTTGGCTATTGGCATTAAACTGCCCACAAAATAATGAAATTAACGTTTGGTGGGAAATATAAAACTGCCGCGCGCGTAGTTCTTGATAAATATCCAATAGGGCTAGGCGCCAATCTATGATATCATAGTACCCCACAATAGCTGATCGTTGATAATACGAGAAATGTGCTGGCTCAAAATCTCTTTTTAGAGAACTATTCTTTGGCTATTAGCAATGATCTGTCCACAAAATAATCAAATTAACGCTTGGTGGGAAATATAAAACATAAAACTGCCGGTGCGTGTAGTTCTTGATAAATGTCCAATAGCGCCAATCTATGATGTCATACCCCACAACAGTTCATCTTGATAACATGCAAAATGTGCTGACTGAAAATCTCTCTTCAGTTCCTCTGCGTTGGTGGGGTGCATTCTACGAAGACCCTGGTACACAATGGGGCATTCTATTAAATTCAACGAAATTCGCCGTTGAAGATTAGCAACGAGTTAACCATCATCATCTACTAACACCATCCAACGAAATAAAACCTTCAAATTTGGAGATTTATCAATTTTGAAATCAATATTCAACTGAAATGTATTGAATATTTTTTCAAAAATATCCTCAAACAAATTGATAACATAAAACTACTTTGGATACATGCGTATCTAACGAGTCATTACAAATTACTCTTGAATATTTTAGATTCTTATGATTAAATCAATGCAAGGATGCTGTAGCAAGAGTAAAGTTAACTATTCTGAGTGATCAATAGTCTTGCCGCACACTAACACAAATATATTTCTGTAACGTTTCGTCTGGCCATGGACTTCTTCAGGCATATATAGTTCAACTATAACCACTAGTTGAACTATGTATGTCTGAAAAAGGGTGACCTTGATCCGACGAAACGTTACAGAAATATATTTGTGTTAATGTGCATCAAGAATCATTCAGGTTATTAAGAATCTTTTTATTTTGAAAATGCGAATCATACATCATACTAAATTCATACAAATACATACAATTATTATCAAGTAAAATGAATCCAGGTATCTTCAATGTAGATGTCGAGAAGATTTTTTTCAACATCAGACCAAACAAAGAAACAAGATCCAGTTTTATGCAGCGCATGTTGTGTGTTTTAAAAAAGGAATAATACAGTACTGTGATAGTGCAAAATACGATAAACGAATATAGTATTTGACTCTTGGCAAGACCGATAGAGCCTATAATTACGTAACGAATAAAAGTTTCGCTACTGCCAAGGTTTAGAAATGAACCTGTTTCGCTCCAAGAGTAGTGCGATAAATTGTATTCGCAACGGTAGCAGTGGCATCAGAATGCCCAATTTGTTCTAATTCGAGTGAAGAATCGGATTCGGAGGAAATTGTAAATTGAATACCGAAGTTTTAGCAGTCATGTAACATTTATGGTTTGGGAATATTTCTTTTCCGCTATATGGACATTTGGCTAAGTTTCTGGGAAATTTTCAACACTTACAACTAAAATGAGTCAGGTGTTAGATCTGAATTGTATGATTCGAATAAATCTTATATAAATGATGAAATATTCTCAACAAACAAAATACAAATTTTTGTGACGATTTCATTGGAATGCGCCCAAAGAACCGATCTTATTAGCAGCGGCGAAATGTTTTGCATGCGTGTGTGCAGTTATCTGCATATCCAGTACTCATTTGTTTTTGTGTATAAACTTATTACCGATCAATCGGAAGCAGGTTGGCCACCCCAGCGATATAGGATCGAATTTTGTGCAGGAGTCGGGCGTGCCAAACTATATCAAAAGTTTTAAAAATTGATTCAGCTCAGCCGTTTCGATAATTTGCATAGGATTGACAAAACAATAAAGGGGCGACATTTGAGAGGATTCGTTCGATCGCCACTGTTTTTAAAATCGGGATCAATGGTAGCCTCGACAAAATACTGGTTCCTCGACAAAGTCTTCGTTCGCTATAGGTGGCTGTTTCTGTTGAATATATATTCAAATTGAATTGAATCATGACATAATTCATATATACACAAAAGAAGAGAATTTTATTACTTAGTATGGTCACAACGATATCATGTTTAGTCATCATTCGTGTCTACTGATCTGATCAAATAAGATAAAAATATTCCCTTAGAACATTAACTGGAATTATAGATTTATGTAGTATATAGAGTCTTGGATATAAATATTTACAATAGCATGTCATGATTTTCGCGTTGCCCGGATGATTATATGTTTAAATCGAATTCGTGTTCATCAGTGTTCTAGGTAAAATAACGTTGACAGATCGTGATGTTGAAAATATCATAGTTGAATTTGATTAGTTACTTTTAGAATGTGAAAGAGATTTGAGAATTTCTGTTTGTTTTTCAAGATCTTTGTCAAATTCAGCTGCTTGGATCATTCCGTCGTTATCAGCATCGAGTTTCCTGGAATTCCTGCTTCATAAGATCGTCAAGATCTCTGCTTTGTTCCAAGTCTTGTTCGTGTTGCTCAGTAACGACATCAAGAAGGGCCAATACATCTTCTTCGTTGTTGGAGTCCAATAAATGAGAAGCAACTAATTGACCGGATTCGTTGTCCTGGTGATATAAAATGTAAAGTGCTGTTATGGAGAACAAATTTGCGCTAATTACTCGATAGTGAGTTATGCCTTACTACCGATATAACACACTAGAGACGTACCGATACTACTTTTGTCGCCGATACCAACAGAAAAACGCCAATATTTCGAAAAGTCGATATTCCGTAACTATGTAATTATAACTTTAGGGGTGCAGGGCGGACGGGTTGTAACAATAGTCTTTAAGCATTATTTATACTGCACATTATTTCAGCTTGAAATAGAAATATTTCAGATAAGATGAGAAATCGAAGTTTGTGATACAGATGCATAAATTGATTCGGATGCATTGTGCACCGACGTTCGTAAACTAGAGACTCAATTAGAAAACTAATTTTGTGCAAATATAACGTTGTATTTTACACATTGGAAAATATTCGATTGATATATTTCTTCATAATTACCATGTCATATTAAAATGTCCGTTTGAAAAGTTGGCAGCAAAAATAGCCAAATTAGTTGAGAGTTAACGAGGCGATTAATTTCAACATCCGTATTTCAACTTATTTTTGAAGCATTCTGGGTCACATTGAAAAGCTAAATATATCGGAAATAGCGGTATACATTTAGCCGATACCGAAAAAATAGCCGATATTCCCGATAACCATACATTGGTACATCTCTACAACAAACACGCTCCTATACTCCATTTCACCAAGTTTTTGCCGAGTTGAGCAATTAAGATTTCTGTGGTAAATAAAGAACTTAATCGGTTGATGTACAGTACAGTGTTCTGTTTGTATATATATCTCACCAGCAATCTTGCAGTCATTGCTTCACGAAACTCAGATTGCGATATGATTCCGTCTTCATTTTCATCAAGTTCGTTAAACACGTCCCAGGTATTTTTCAGATCCTCCTGATTTTTTTGTTGAAGCCGCTCGTCTCCCAATTCCAGTTTACAAGAGAATTTTTTGCTCAAAATCCAACCAGCTGAATCCAGATGAGAAAGAATAAAAAAAGGAAAAAAATTCATTACAGTTGCATGAAACCCAACGATTTTACATATAATTACCAGTAACTTCACCGGTCATCACAGGTCCACACAGTGTACGGTTATGGAGTTCATCATAAAAACGAACGAACATTGCTCAAATATATGGACAGTAAGCGAATGACGTTAGGAATAAAGACGCTTCCGGCTGAAATTAACCTATTCGAAACGATAGTCTGGCCATTTATTGTACAAGTGGCATCAATTTAATCAATAAGGCATTTCATTCGTTCCATGTGACGGCAATTTTAGTGGGCAGGCAAACAGGACTCATCGCATGGTTATCAAGTACCGGTAATTTCTATAATTTGAATCTTGAACAATATCAAATACTCACAGAGGAATTTAATCGATGCACGCCCAGTTCTACATAATCCACAGTCACAGCACACTATGTTGCATCCCTTTCCGTTTCCACTACCGGAACCACACAGCACTTCCTGCGGTTCCATATGCTAACTTTAGCGCAGTCTTTGCAGAAGCCTGTGAAAATAACGTGAAAACACTATGAAACCCTTTTTCAATCCTGGAACATTTTCATTTGTAATGGGATTAACTTGTTACAAGAACATTGTAGATAACTCAAGACAATATCACAAGTCCTTTTTTGAAAGTGGAATTACTACTTAATCGAATCCTGAATTGGGATTCCCAAATAGAACAAATAAAATTATATATATATATTTAATATTCGAATATCAAAAAAAAAACACTAGAAAGAATAACTAATGTACACCATTTGAACCAGCATATCATGCGTCTACGAATATAATTTTCACACTCACCGTTTTGTCCACGACCACAGCAAATTGCCGAATTTCCGCTACGGCAAAAGCAGGAGTATAGCAATAATACCTAAAAGATTATTCATTGTAAATATCCCAGATGAAATTGATAGTTATTTCTAAATATATTTGCATTAAAAAGATATGTTCATAGTCAGCGCTCTTCAATGCCAATAGTACTGAATTATAACGAGGAAGAAGTCATTAGGAATGTGAGCCTCCGCAAACAGAAACTTAATTGTATGCCATTTCGTTCTTTTACGAATGCGGGGGTGATACTATGTATCCCCGTTCAAACCAATGGCAGTTTCATTTTTAGAATTCATAGTATTTCATGAATTCCGATTTTGTGTTTCACTTTCGGCATATTATATATATATATGTGTGCTCCCAAATACCTTAAATTCCTTAAACATAAATAATTTGCATGACCCTGGACACGTATGCTGCATAACATTATCCTGATACATCTCTAATATACGTCCCCTAATCGGGAGGCGAACCTGCAACTCCCTAGACAATCTGCTGTAGTATGACAAGCGAGGTACAAACGCAAATATCTACTACATTATTTCGGCACAAAAATCGACAAAGTTGATAATATAAATCTGTTTATTTTGCAAATGGAAGTCATACACAAAATCACAATTATTAGTGAGTGAAATGAATTCGAGCATTTCCAATGTAGATTTGAGGAAACTTATCTCAACTCCATACTAAACAAAGAAACAAGTACAAGTTGCTAGTTTCTTTCATTCTGCACTTCGCTATCAGTGTAATATCAATCGAAAGCACGTTAATTTTGTCAACGAATACTAGACGACACAACCTGACAAGTCAAGAGCATGACATGAAAATGTTTTCTTCTTCCACTATTAAAAATTTTGAAACGGATATTTGTTTACAGAGACTCCCACACAAAAATATTTGTTTTGATGAGTAAAAAGTCTTAGCTGTCAATAAATGGAAATTCCACTAAGCCACATTGTGTCGAGAAGCATAATATCCTTACCACATTCCGATGGAGACATATATATTTTTTTCAAAACCTATAATCATAGCAAACTGCAATATTATAAATAACTTATTAGTGGAAATGACCTGATGCTATTTTATGCCCCTGGTGCACTTAGAAAGTTTTAATGATAGGCCGATAAGGAATATCTTGACAGTCATGCACATTCTTATGATGATAAAATATCCATTTCTGGACATAAGAAATAAAGTGAGCTTAATAGAATGTCCTCAAAATTCAGTATCAGATGAAATGACGAATTGATCAACACAGCTCCAGAGTAAAAAAAATCAAATGATATATTGCTGGTTTCAAATCTGTGCTTAATACGAGATAACAATGTATTGTCCAATGAGGAATCAGTCCAAAAGCATTTCAAATCGCCAGTCAAGTCAAACTTGCATCCCAAGGTGGTCAACAAACTTTACTTTTATCAAAACAAGTTCACAGCCTACAATAATCATACAATAAATCTGATTGATTGGAATTTAAAGGGATATATATATAGTATATATTCAATAGCATTGGGCTAGTAAATAACAAGATTAATGCTACACCGGTATAGAATCTACATCGTTTCCTAAGTCTCTTCCTTCAACCTTCATCGATTTGAATATTATCGCATAGCAAAAGCGATTCAAATCCTCCCATCTGGAAACCTTCAATGGCCAAACAATATTTTATTTTTCTAAATGCATTCGGTCACAATGTTTTAATGCCAGTGCGAAGAAGCAAACTGCGGTGAAATTTGAATCATAAATAGGGATCACTAGATGTCGATATAGACATACTGTACTAACCTAAATCAAAACTATGGCGACTGGCGACATTTTAAATTTGTAGTCTACAATATGTCACGCATTGTTACATTAGTTTATATTGATTTGAAAAGACCGCATAGTTTGTCGTCTGGAGTCGTGAGGTTTTTTTTAGTTTCTGGAATAATCGCCCGTAGTTTGAGGTAACCAAACACTGAACAACCTCAAGGTTACAATTAACGAAAATTTTTATTAGAAATATTAGTATTCACGGCGACTAAACCGTGATTGTTTCGTGAAGTGAAGTGCTATGTCAACGTTACGGGCATTTTTACGGGCACATTATAAACGTTTTAGTCGCGCAATTCTGGAAAATGAAGAAATTGCTCCCAAATAGTTTCATAAAATGATAATTTTCATAACTCTGGATCGTATGCTGCATAACATTATCTTGATACACAGCACGTACATCCGTTTTCCGCTGGCACAACACCTCTTTGGAAACCAGGGAAAAGTGTAATCAGCTATTGCTTTATTGCCTCATAGACGTTTCTTCCTCAGTGCGCTTTATCGACATCTTGCTTTGTTATATAAAAACGATACTTGACTTTAAAATAGCTTTAGCAACATTATTTCAAGAGCCTTATTTTTCCGTGGCACGTACATCCGTTTCCGCTATCACAACCCAGCTTTGAAAACCTGGGGAAAGTGATAATCAGCTATTGTTGCTCTATTGCCTGATAGACGTTTCTTCCTCAATGCGCTTTATCGATATCTTGCTTTGTTATATAAAAACGGTAATTGATTATAAATTAGCTTTAACAACATTATTTCAGGAGCCTTATTTTTTCCGTTAATTCAGCAGACCTCCGTTTTTCATCGCTGTTTGGCAGGGACAATGCACGTTTGGCGTGCTTGTACTTGACGAAAAAGAATTGTTTTTTTTTTGTCTGTTTTGTATAAAAAGACTGTATTGTATTAATTTTTGTATGAAATAGGCTAAAACTAAAACAAGAGAAATGGATGTAAAAACTTGCCGATCGTTTCTTATTCGCAATAAACCCCCTGAATCGCCTCAAATATCGATGGTTTGCCCATACACGCCTTCTCAAGCTGTAGCGCAATGCGTCACAAGCGTGGTTGGCGGAGAAAGTCGACCGATAAGCCATCACGTGAATCACCCTGTGTGAAGGCGAGGAGTCCAGCAATGCTCTTGCACATAGTCACATCTATCGCGGGATCAAAACCAAGATCGGATATACCATTAGGCAAGGTGGGGTAAGAGTAAATACCTAGGGGGCTAAAATATCGAGGTTCTTGACAATCAATTTTGAATTATTATTCATTTAAAATCGTTTTTAAATTGTAAAGGCTTGTTGGAAAATGATACGAGCTTAAAACTTTATAGATCTCATATATTTTACTTAGATTAATAACTCTTTTTACTGTTTGAAAAAGATTAAAAAGGTAAAATAAGATCGAATAAATAAATTTGTGTAGCTTTGAAAAACTCTACCCATTTAACCCTAAAAATAAAGTATGGTAATTTAAATTAACTGAACAGTTTTAATCGTAATAATGCTTTTATTTTATGAGAAAAAATATTAATATATAGCCATATAAGCTAATTCATCTAAGCAACAAATAATGTAAGCATTAGTATATATATATATATAAAGCCGCCAATCCCAAGTATAGTCACCACGATGCGAGCGGTATTTGTATAAAAAAAAAATACAAAACTTAAACGCCACTTCCCGTGTCATTCTTCATGTAACGGCTCAATTCGCAAATTTTCAAAAACTTGTGCAAAACGCGAGTTATATACTAAGAGAACTGATGTTCTAAAAATTGTTATGTGTGATACAGAATGTTTTTAGACATCGAAACTGAATATGTCAGGATTCGCCGGAAACAAGGGCTTCAAATGGAAATTGCGGACTGAATTAATGTTTCTCCGAGCAGACTTCCTTGTTTACTTCGTAACATTGGCCAATCACCATGATGTAAAGAGTGACGTAGTTTCGCATCCGCTCAGACAGATTTTCAGACGTCGTCGTAAACATTACCTCGTTTTCGCGTTTTTGAAATCTATTCGTTAGTGTTTAGTTGTGTTTCGGATATTTAAATATATATCAAATAATTCAATGATCACTTTGTTTTCTTAGGAGTTTCAGTTTAATTGCAGTAATCAAAAATTAGTGTAGAAATAGCTGCGTTAGACTAGGCTAAAATTCTTTACCGGTACTTTTAAAAAACAGATTGTTTAATGCTATGAATCAAAATGATGGTTTGAAACAAAAATACCCCATTTCACAGGCGCCAATTCGCTAAACCACTCTTGAAATAAGCACCGAAAATTTTGCAGTGGTAAAGTATAGGAAGAATTTTACGGGGGGGGGGTCCATAAATCGCCTTATTCGGTCACAATCACGTGTTTCACGTCACTTCAACTTGACGACATCCGGAGCCATAAAGTTTTGTGCGCTTATTCGGCGCGCGACAAGTCGCGCCTATTAGTCGTCGTTTTTTACACATTCCACAGGGGGGCGACCGCAAACCCCACTCTCCCTGATATAG